AAGCTGAAGCAGTACCTGCATTGCAATGACAATACAGAAATGCTCCCAAGAGATAATCCCAACCACGACAAATTATTCAAAGTGAGACCAGTGATTGATTCCGTCTTGGAGAAATGCAAGCTACTCCCCCAGGAAGAAAAGCACTCGATTGATGAACAAATCATTCCTACAAAGTGTAGAACTGGTCTACGACAATATCTCCCAAAGAAGCCACACAAATGGGGTATAAAGGTGTGGGCAAGATGTGGAGTTAGTGGCATGGTGTATGATTTTCAAATATACACTGGAAGTGGCTCTGGATCAGAGGACGATGATCCCCTCCTAGGAGTAGGTGGCAATGTTGTCAGGCATTTGTGTAGTTCCCTTCCAAAGAATGTTGGGCACAAAGTGTATTTTGACAATTATTTTTCCTCAGTCCATCTACTACGGCATCTAGAACAAGCAAGAATCTGGGCTGTTGGTACGATTAGAGCTGATCGATTGAAAGGGGCGGAAAAATTGCTAAACAACAAAAAAGAGTTGAGCAAGAAAGGACGGGGTTCTTCTGACTGGTGTGTTGATGCTGATACAAATATTACTATAGTGAGATGGATGGATAATGGCTTGGTTCAGTTGATCTCCAACCATGTAGGAAATTCCATGGGAACACCAGCTAAGCGATGGTCAACGAAAGAGAAAAAGCATGTTGAAATACCAAGACCCCAGATAGTTGAGGAATATAATGAGCACATGGGTGGTGTCGACTTATGTGATATGCTGATGGCCTTGTATCGAATCAAGTTACGCTCCACAAAATTCTACATGCACATCCTATACTATTGCCTCAACCTTTCAATTGTCAATGGTTGGCTGCTCTATCGAAGACATGCATCCCAGAAAAATGTACCAGGAAAAGCCCAAATGGATCTCCTAAAATTTCAGACACAAGTTGCAACTGCCCTACTTATGGTGGACAAGGTCAGAAAACCACAGCGCGGCCGACCGTCCTTGACACCCCCTCCAAAGAAGAAAACCAAGTGTCATGTAATCCCTACTCCCATAGCTGATGTGAGATATGATGGGGTTGGACATATGCCTGATTTTAGTGAGAAAAAACAGCGCTGTCGCCATTGTCCAAAAGGATATTCATTTATTCAATGTACAAAGTGCCAAGTCCATCTATGTTTGGTGAGAGGGAAGAACTGTTTTAAAGACTTTCATTGTAAGTAATTGTAAATAGTATTGTAAATAATTGTAAATCACAGTCCATAGCATAATTACTCCAGGAAAATAAGAGACTTCAGAACAATATAGCACTATCTCAAAGTGCTAAGTCCACCTATGCTTGGTGATAGGGAAGAACTGTTTTAGAAGTCTTTGAAGACTTCCATTGTAAATAATTGTATATAATTGTCATTAGCATGATTACTCTAGGTAAATAAGATACTTCAGAACATATAGCTCTGTCTCTAGTTTCTTTTACAATACCATATTATTTTACCATTTCTGCACAATGTTGCTCCAGAGCAACAATTCCAAAATACCCTCGAAAACCCCCAATTTTTTTTTTTTATTATTCAGATGACAAAGAGCCTGCCCAAATATGTATAATTTGCCATCAGATATTTTTTTCCTTAAAAAATCAAAATTTATGCAGGAAAGGGTTAAGAGCCATTTTTAATTCCCAGAGGTGCTTATCTATTGCACTTTGGAGCTGTAGTAATGTTCTTGCATATTTAAGTGGTTGCGTTTTTTTTTTGAGACACCCTGTACTTCTTCATATCATGTGAAAACTGAATTGATAATTGTTTTATTATTTGTTTAAAAGAATGAACATTACAACTTTGAATTGTTCGCTTAAATTTGTGTCGATTTCACATTATCGCTGCTTTGGGAATGTCTTCGCCATTGGTGTGACGTCCTATTGTGGGATACGAAAATTTATCACACGTTATGAGGTAGTAACGTGCAAGAAAAAAGTCGTATCACACGTTATGACATCACACGTTGGACATGACGATTTCACACATGGCTATTAGCCAATGAGAGGCTGTGAATTCTTTTAAATAAATGATAATGCACTCTGTAGCGTAACCAGCCTGACGATTTGTCCCACCATGCTAATATTTTGGTGTTCATTGACTGTGAAAACAATAAATTTCTAATGAAAAGAATAATTATAGTAACTCGAAATTTGTATGCACTTTGCTAAAGTCTTATCTGATGCTGATCTCAACGACGTGACCAAGAGAACTATTCTTAGTACGGCGGCGAAGTTCTTTGATTCTTTAGGACTTATTTCGCCAGTCGTTTTGATGTTCAAATTGTTCTTCCACAATTATGCAAATCGGAAGTAGGTTGGCGAAACATTGAACGAGGACATGATCAAAAACTGGCAGTCGATCGTGAAAGATTCAAGCGTTTTCTCCCTGAGTAGATGCTACTGTAAAGACTTGTTTGCAGATGAAACGAAGTCTATCCATTACACGCCTTTGGTGATGCATCGGAATCGATGCATCAGTATTAGGACATTTCTGGAAGAGATGGAGTTCAGAATACTTAACCCAGTTACGTGAACTGGAACACAACCGGACGAACAAAAGAGACCGGTCTGTTATCAACGTCGGAGATGTCATATCGGTTAAAGAAGACAATGTTAAACGATTGAATTGGCAAAAGGTATTAGTGGATGATTTAATCCAAGGAAAAGACGGAAAGTCGCGAGCTGCGGTATAAAAAGTGATCCGAAATGACGGAAAGATAACACGGCTTCGGCGACCTCTGCAGAAGTTTTATATCCTATTGAATTATAATCCGAGCTACCAAATGAGAAAAAAGGTGAATTTCCAATCACGTTCGTGACGGAAGCCAAACAGGAGAACATTGACATTTAACTAATTTATGTACTTTAAAGTTGTGTTGATAGACTTTCGCCCGTCTATCAGGGCGGGAGTATGTTCGAAATGACGTAAGCGAAAGTATCGTGTATACCACGCGTGGACGAACAATGCTTTTCGCGAATGCCTTCGGGGCGAAGGATAACTTTGTGTGATGTACTTTGTAGCTATAATGTGTTTATTATTATTAAAGCATGAAAACTGAGTGAACATATATAAAATCCATATCTCCGCGCAACCGTGTATTATTCTATACATTTTCTGCCCGACGGATTTTGAGGCAAAAAGAGCGAACAGCCTGGAACGAGATTGTAAATAAATAATTATAGGACGCTGTATCATTCGTATATTTATCAATAATCTGGTACCCTTCGTCGGTAGAAATTGGGAAGATAAAACGAGGAGTAGTTAAGAATCGACACACTGAATACATACGGAGGTAAGGCGAGATTAAAATATCACAAGAAACGTTTGGGAAATCGCACATTTGTACAGCCGATTGCTCGGCAGGTCAAAGTTATGTTTACACGGTAAAACGGAATTTTGCACGTGCTGGTTAATTGTATATGAATCAAAGGTAAAAGCAATAGAAGAAGCTATAGCGTGGGAATGGTTGTCTGCTGTTGACACCTTACTGATTCAAGTTTTTATTGGCACGCGATTATGTTATAGTCATATACTTTCGTTTTGCCCAAAAATGGTACTGGAATTTTTGCATTGAGTGCATGGTTAAGCTTCGGGATGTATTGGATTACGCGATTATATCAATATACGAAAATATTTCAATAGATTAAGCAAATACATCAATAAAATATACTAAAAGATTACACAAATAAATTAATATCGACCTTCTCTCAATAAAACACAATCACTTATTCACTTTTATTTGTATTGGTCGTACTGATAATAGACCACCCAACAATTTATTTGCAGCCTACAGGAATTTATTTGATCATTTCCTAGAAGACCTAAAAGTTCTTTTCAAATAAACCAATCAAAATTTATCGTACATTTTGAGCAATTCTGATTGGAACAAAAGCAGGCAGTTATTAATGAAATCCGTTACCTATATATATACCAAAATTAGCAATTCAATCAAATGTTATTCAAACAATTCAACTTTTTATGTGCCGAATCAAATACAAACGAAATTGTTTAATTAAACGAAGACTTTAGTTCCTTAACATTAGCGGGATGTGATAGGGTATACTGAGTTGCGAATGTTCAAATAAGGGCATTATACACACAGACATTAATTCATAATGCCTGATAATTAAATTCCATACAAACGTCGCATAGACGTTGTAATTTACAGTATTGAGTATACACACATCACATCGGAATAAATTGTTCTACTTCACTCGAACGGTAATTCATCAATTCATAGCGACAAACCTAAGGCAGATATATGCCACCAGGCGTGCGAATATAAACGATTCATGTGAACATTTGCCAACATCCAACTCACGCACCGAGATTTAACGAAGCTTGAGAGGACTTTGAGGTAATGAAATAAGTCTTTATGACACCAAACAAGCACATGCTATTGTTATGGTGATTATACGACTGCCACGACTGCCAGGATCATGTTATCTGCTCATTTCAATACCTCAAAATCATCTCACGCTTCGTTATATCTCGGGTAACCAGGCCCATGTAAACAGCCCATTAATCGCACTTCAGTCTCTGCGCGTTTCTCCTGGGACCGGGTCGGAAACAGCTGCGTTGAGTGTAAAATAATTATGTCCATGCATACCTAATATGAAACTTTATATTACAATCGATGCTTATATATATTTGGGGCCGGTTGTTCAAAAGGCGTTTAGCTTAATCGGTGGATAAGTTAAAAATAGAAAACCAAATTATCTATTTATTGAACAACTGAGCTAAAATATTTCGATGTAAAAGGTTTAATTGTCAATGGAAGTACATATTAAATGCATAAGATGCAGGTTCAGTCATTCACAAGACCTATGAGAGTATTTTTAAATTTTGGCTTATCCACCGTTTAAGCTAAACGCCTTTCGAACAACCGGCCCCAGATATATTTAGATTCTGTGTATATATACAGTGCGTTTGAGACCCATTGTGCTATCGTATTTAGGTATAGGCAGATATCACAGAATGAGTACACGAAGTCTACATCATCAGGCACAAGAGTACAGAGTACAGGGTGTAACATATAGACCAGAGGTAACCCAGTCTATTTGGAACTTTCTTGCGCGACAAGTCAACCAGGAAAATGTTACCCACATAGCCAAAGATTTAAAACAGTATAACGTTTCAATAACTTTAGCGGATGATGAAGGGAAGTTTCTTATTCGTGGCACCAACGAAGGAATTAAACAATGTAAACAGCGTTTATCAGACCTTGCTGCATTGATTGTTGAACGAGAGAAGAAGCTTGAATATCCAGGGATAAAAAATCTGTTTTTTGATCAGGTCGGAAAGCAGCAGTTGGAAATGATTGAAAACGAAATGAGAATCGATATTAGGAGTGTTTCCTGCAGTGCAGAAAAGATCTTAAACGAGCCCGTTTTCCTACCAAGAACAAATTCCCTTTCATTGCCAAATTCCCAGAGCTCGGTCTACAATATATGCAAGTTTACTACTGAAGAGGGAATGAAAGTCACCTGGAAATATGGTAGCATTGAAAATGAAACGGTGAGTAATTTTTTTTTTTTTGAAAAAGTGATTTTATATAATTTAAATAAAATTTTTCATCCAGCGGCTGTGTATAAAGAGACTCTCTGAGATGACCTATTTTTTATTGTATGCATGTGTATTAGGGAAAACAACTCAGACATTTCAAAGTTGCAATAGAGAACTGATGATAATTATAGCATAATCGATTCACAATACACGATAAGGACAAACCTTTTATTCATAATCCTAAAACAATCTGAAAGACGCATTGTCACACAACCTCACTTACCCCCGTCCTCTCTACACTTCGTGAATTAAAGCATCCTAAAGCATCCTTTAATTTTCTTTGGAATATAATATATCTCCTTTTCTTTGTGAAGGCTGATGTGTTGGTAAACTCCGCACGGTCAAATCTTAACCATCCTACCGCATGTGGCCAAGTTTTAATGGATCGTGGTGGACCATATTATAAAGAAGCGTGTAGACCTCACACAAACATACCACCAGGAGACATCGTAGTAACTGAAAGTGGCACGCTTTCGTCCAAGTATGTTGTCCATGCCGTTTGCCGAAAATTAGTTTCATTTCAGGAACCGTTATCAGCATTTGAGGTACGGTCGTATAAAAATAGTGATATCTTTAGAGATTTGAAATAAGAAAGAGAAAAGTGCATGCAATTCTTAGGACGCTGTATTTCATTACGGCGCTGTCAGAAGTCAAAACAGACTGGATATATATTCTGTAGTTTCTCAACTTCTGATTCGCGTTGACGCACATGTTTGACTATGTTCAACGGAAGCGTTCTTTTATTGTTTATGCATTCTGAATATGAGTTTTATCATCGTTTTAGTTTATAAAAGGGCTTGTGCGCAAAATTCTTGAAAAATGTGAGGAGATAGGGGCGTCTTCGCTCGCAATTCCATTGATCGGTGCAGGTCAGCTTGGTTTTCCTGAAGAATCTGTTTTGAAAGTAATCAAATCTCAAGCACAAGAACTTAGCGACAGAAGAAGAGATCAGCTTAAATTACAAAGTATTTGCGTGATTGTGTTCCAGCCAGTCCCGTTACCAACCAAACCGCAAATCTCCAATGTAATCACGTTCAGAGAAGTCGGTATTACCCTTCTTGGCGGAACAGTAGAACATTATCAAGCAGACAGCTTGATAAACTTCTCCCCAACAGATATAAGGGTCTCAACTAAAAGCTCCCGATGTTCAAACACCCGACAAAGTGAAGATACAATGAAACAACCTCCCGGTACCGTGCTCATCAGAGAATCGTGCGCTGACAAGCATGTAAAGTATTTCATGCACTGTGTTCCTACTTCGTTTGACATTCCTGGATTAGAGAGCGCAATCAAAGCTGGTTTGAATGCTGCCCGAATTTATGAGCAACGCAACGTGCTAATATCGACCTCGGAGATAACTTCTTTTGGCGTCGCGCCCAAGGAATGTGCGGACGTGTTTCTAAAGGCGGCCCAGATATTTTCCATTTTAAATTTTAAAATGGATGTTAAAGTGGTTGTATTTGAAGCGGACTTGATGGAAAATTTTCAAGACGCTTTTGAAGAAAAGGTAAAAGAGCAACAAATGAGAGGCAGTCTTCGGAAAAGTTATCTGGGGGAGAGTTCAGAGGCAATAAACCATCAGCGTCCTATGACCATAGGCACAAAAGACGAAGTTATTATTCGACTTGTTGGGTTCCGCGATGGGGTTAACATGGCCGCTGACAAAATCGAAACGTATTTTAGTCGAAGCAAAACGAAAAAATGTATCTCAGGTGACAAAATTGTCAACAGACTTTGGAATCGTACCTCTGAAATACTGGAAATATCGAAGAAATATGAAGTCTTAATAACTTTCTCAGCTGAGGAACTTTTTATCGAAGGAATGACGGAGCAAGTATTTGAATGTAAGGATGCGTTGACAGATTTTATAAACCGTGAAGACGAAAAGAAACGAGAGATAAAAAGATTGCGTAAAATTTCTCAATGCGTGCAATGGTCGTATTTTGATAAAAATGGTGCTATTCTGTTTGATGAAAACCTGAACGGAATGATTGAGAGAGAATTTAGAGTCTTCAACAATGAATTTACGCTCCCGAGCTCCATCGGCACATACAAAGTTGATCTGGCTAATATGATCATAACCGAAATGCAAACTGGGCTAACTGCAATACTGGCAAGAATGGATTTGGAAAAAAAAAACAACCCACCGGGTATTATATGATTTAAACAATTTAGGGTATTTTGCCTTTCTACCTACCCAACCCTACCCAACCCTACCCTACCCTACCCTACCCTACCCTACCCTACCCTACCCTACCCTACCCTACCCTACCCTACCCTACCTACCCTACCCTACCCTACCCTACCTACCCTACCTACCCTACCCCCCTACCCTACCTACCCTACCCTACCCTACCCTACCCTACCCTACCCTACCTACCCTACCCTACCCTACCCTACCCTACCCTACCCTACCCTACCCTACCCTACCCTACCCTACCTACCCTACCCTACCCTACCCTACCCTACCTACCCTACCCTACCCTACCTACCCTACCCTGCCCTGCCCTGCCCTGCCCTACCCTACCCTACCCGACCCTACTCTACCCTTCCCCACTCACATCTTTCACTGCGGCTCTTACCTATACTGGGCTAAAGAAAAACAGTGTCCTCGTTGTCAATTTATACAATAACTTTAATATTATTCTTTCCAGTTTCGCCCAGAATTCCTATAATATGGGAACCACAAACAAAAACTGTTCATTTGGTCGAACTCTCCACTTCATCAAATGAATACCAGGAGATAATTGATCTGATTGGCCCTGAAGAAATATCAATCGAATGTATCGAGAGAATCCAGAATCCTCGTTTATATAAAATGTATCTTAGTAAAAAAGAGTCAATGGGAACGGAAGCAAACGAAAAGCAGTTGTTCCACGGTACAAAGTCAGAAAATGTTTCTTCAATCAATACAAACAATTTTAATCGACGTTTTTCCGGTATAAACGGTAAGAGAACTCTAATTTATTAAAGCCTATGCTAGGTTCAAGGGAGAACATTTTTATAGTTGGGACCCCTATAAAGAGTATTAGCCGCGGAAACGGCCTATTTATAATCTTTTACAAAATTCCCTAAATGGATGATTTTGGCTATAGACTAAATTTTGACATGGAATCGTCTAAGATATATTTAGTGATATTTGAACTGAAGAAGTGCGAGGAAGTATAAAACTAATTTACAGCAAGAATTGTAGATATCGGAGAAATTCGTAAATCTCTTTTGTAAAACATAAATTGATATATTTAATATTTTTCTTGCATCCATATAGGTACAAGATATGGCCATGGTGTATATTTTGCAAGAGATGCTTCCTACTCTATCAGCTTTTTACAAAGAAATAGCGAACACGACGGAGCTTTCCATATGTATGTCGCAAGAGTTTTGGTTGGCAGGAGTATAAAGGGCTGTAAAAAATTACGTGTTTTGCCGAAACGAAATGACCCACAGAACCCTGAGTTATTTTACGATTCCGCCGTGGACGACACAGAAAATCCGTCGATATTTGTGACGTTCGATGACCATCAATGTTACCCAGAATATTTGATTTCGTTCAATAAGGCATAGTTTCATTTTAGAAAGTATTTTTGCACAATGAAAGTATAATCTCCAAGTTAAAATAATTGAAACTGTCAATCTGGCAACATTTATAATCTCAGAAAGGAAATTGCAGGAAATGTTTGTTTGGTCGGCATTAAGAAATATATTACCGATTACTTTTTTTGATTCTTAAGAAATTTATAAGTATATCTGCTGCATTTCGCATGCATTGATTGATTGATTGGAAACTTCATTTCAAGAGGGTAACAGATAACAATTCGTAAAAACTGATGAACCACTGGCCCTCGAACTAAAAAACATTAAGTTAATTAAAGTTTAAATAACTATCTAACTGATCCTATAATTACATTAAGAAACTACCTACATATAAGAATTTACTTTAATAAATTTAAATTAAATAAGTCTTACGTTAAAAATGATGAACACTCATAGATTTATCTAAGAATATTTTCTTTAGAGATTTCTTAAAAGAGAGAAGAGAAGGCTTTTTGCGTAATTCAGCTGATAAACTGTTCCAGATTTTAGCACTTGAAACCGTAAAGGATCTTCCTTCATTCTCACGTTTATAGCGAGGACAGACAATATTGATATGCCCATCCCTAATTTCTCTTGAATGAATATCAATATTACGGGAAAACATGTAACTTCATCAAAGAATAGGAGCCAATTAAGCTTTCTAAAAAGATCAATACTCCTGTCTTTATAGTTAGCATACAAGATTGTTCTCGCGGCATGTTTCTGTAGCTTAAACACTCTGTCAACATTAACTTTCGAACAGGAGGTTCAAACAGTGCTACCATAGAGCATCACCGTAGCGTTATAAAATTGTAATGTTTTTTGATGTGGACTTGTTCAATCTGTACTTCCTGAGCTCTTATGCCCTGTTTGCAATCTGTCAACTGAGATGGAAGACGTTTTCCTGTAATAAATATCAACAAAAAAATGCCGGTTAAAGTTGAGAAGGCAAGTCATTAATAAAAATTAAAAATTATAGTGGACCCAAAACCGAACCTTGGTACGCTGGGTAGATGTTTAGGTTCTGTGGTGTAATGGTTATCACTTCGGACTCTGAATCCGAGAGTTCGAAACTCGTTGAAAATATTGATTCTACGCGTCTTTATGTATTTTTATTCAGGCTTTTCTCTTAGAGCCCATTTCACAAAAATAAAATCTTTTTGAATAAAAATTACACCTGGAATGTCAACTGAAGAGACCTTCTTAATTGAAATGGGAACTTGAGCAGGAAATGGTTTCGTCCATTAACCTCTGGGTTATAGGCACCTGACGTTTCCACTGCGCCACCCTGCTTGCTACAAACTTCCTTTAGCTAAAAATATATACGCAGATATGTATTTTCTTTTCATTTGTGCTATTCCGAATAAGGTAAGAACATTGGGAAATGTTCTAACAGGTATGTATAAGAGAATTGTACCACCCATGCATGCTGCATGCAACGGTCATGAGTGTAGGTCAGTTGTAGAGCATTCGATTGCAGGTCGAGAGATCAGTGGCTCAACTATGCTCGCTCCCTTCCTTTCTATAAATTAAGCCGATTAGTGCACAAAAAATTTTAATTTATTTTCGTGGCAAACAGCTAGCTGTTGGTTTTACAAACAATCCATGCAGTTTAGGTTTTATGAATGACTCTCTGGGACACATTCACGTTCCATATAATTCAGGGGCGGATCTAGGATTTTTCGTACCTTAGTCAAAAAGTTTCAGTCAAGAAATTCGGGGGGGGGGGGTGTTGCAGATGGAACGAGAAAATGACTGTTTCGCCCAATGTCAGGGCTCATCAGCATGCCTAGGAAACGCATGATACTACTAAGATATCTTTGGATTCCGACATGGACAGGCATTTTCACATAAGAGCACATGCAGTTTGTTTTTAGGCGCCAGCACCCGCCTTCAAATCTTTGCACTGGGGTAGAAATCGGTGAATTTAGTAGCAATGATGCTTTACATATTCATCCTTGATTAAATTTACATAGGTGCAACCACAAATACGCTAGTTCGATTGAATATTTTGATGTTTCTTACATCTACTTCGGTCAAAGCAATCAAATTATCAAAAGATATGTTGGATTGAAGATCGGAATTCAGGTTTCTTCTTTACAGCCAGCAGTACATATTGGAACTTTTCGCAGCAATGGCGCAAGAGTGTTATATTCGCAGTCATTCTCTATGATGCTAGCACTCTCGTTTCGCGACCAATTGCGCATTCCAAATTATTTTCAAATAATGATGGCGCAAGAGTGTTGTTTTTTCAGTCAATTTCTTGCAAGCACTCTCTTTTCGCAGCCAATCGTCGAAGTTGGAACTTTTCGCAGCAATGGCGCAAGAGTGTTATATTCGCAGTCATTCTCTATGATGCCAGCACTCTCGTTTCGCGACCAATTGCGCATTCCAACTTCCATAATACAATCATACATGTACTGTGAAACCTTTAACCCATATATTTATTCAAATATGCAGCATAATAGATAATAATTAATAAATTTTCATTTGATGGACAATTAAATCGGTTGATCAAAAGCTTGATAGCTATATACAAAAGAGTTTTAACGTTCAACCTTTAATTAAGAGCTTTTGGTCGAAAAATATGAAATATACACTGTTATAGGATAATTAGGAAAATTTCAACCTGGTGTTTCCTTCTGCAAATTTGTCAATTACTTTCTCAACATCTGGAATTATCTCCTGATGAATTTGCATTAGGGCTAGACCATTCAACCGTTCCTCAACCATAGTACTACGCTGGTAGTTCTTCAGTGATCTCAGTGCCGAAATAGTTCTTTCACACTCACATGAAGTGATGGGCAGTGTTCCTAAAATACGAAGAACAACTTTAATTTTCAAAACCATCAAAGCTAACAGCTTTTAAAGTTGTTGGAATATTGTCAGGAAGAAGTCCTTTGTAGGTCTCCCAATAAGACGTCCATAATGACAGTTCAGCATCTAGAGCTAAGGGAAAAGGTAGATCATCAATGTAAAAATCGGCAACAACTTTGAATCCATCACGCCAGTCTTTCCCCTTCTCTTTCAAAGACATCATTTTCGTTGGTATAACACTTAATCCTTTATAAACGTTAACACTATCCGTGTCGAATCTGTGTTGTAAAGCAGAATTAATATGGTCAACGAAAGGGATACTTATGATACGCTTATAATACTCCGAGATTGTCTTATACGGAGGATTGGACCTGCTTGTTTGTCTTCCTACTGTCCGTGGCTTGCTCTCTTCTATTCCAACCTTTCGTGCAGCTAAATCAACTGCCTCTGCATACCAGATTTCATGGAAAGTGTCAATGGAATTTCTAAAACTAATAAAATCATTTTTCATAGTGTTAATTAAGTGAATTCCATCCATAATATCAATACTCTTTCCCTGTAGCAATAAAGTAACAGGAAGAAGTCGATCCAGATATTGTGGGAAATTACCAAAGTTACAATAAATTCAAACTTTCCTATAAGATCAAAAAAATTAGATGCATCAGCAACAAGGTTTGGTCTGTAATTCCCCTCTACATTGTCTCTCATCTCCTTTAATGTGTCATATAAAGGGACGAAAAGTTCAATAAATGTATCCAAACCGGCGATTCTTTCAACCCTCTGGTCCGACAAACATCTACCAGCTTTGTCTTCCGACTTTCTCTCTCAGGATAATTACGGACATTTTCTTCAAAAGGCATGTTGCGTGTCTGGGAAATATTAATGAAATTTGAGACATCTTTAACATGTTTCATCATGGTATTGACCTCAACAACAGTCAAAGAATCACATACAGCTAAATTAAGTCGATGGCTATAACAATGAGTGTAAAGAGCTTTCTCATTAATGCGCAAAATATTAGCTGACAAACCATTTATGTGCCCTGAGACAGCACCTGCACCATCATAGCCTTGTCCTCGACAATCATCAATGGATAAAGTCATGTCATTAAGTGCTTCTAGGATCAGCTTGGCAAGTTGTTCACCACTTAATCCCCATCTACATTCAAGGAAAGCAATGAATTCTTCTCGAATATTCATGTTAATATCTACAAAACGTAAAACAAGAGACATTTGCTCCTTATGAGAAGAATCTGCAGCCTCATCTGCAATGATGGAATAGAATTTACTGGCCTTAATATCTTGAATAATCTGCTCACTTATTACCTGTCCAACACACTTGATAATTTTATTTTGGCTAGTTTTTGAGATATAAGTTTTATTTTTACCACAGTTCTTCAAATGATCCTCTAAAACTCTGTCCCCTGCACGAACTCTAAAATTAAGAGACTCAATAAAATTACCAACTCTCTCTGTAGAGTAACTGCCAACGTCAGGATGGTATTTAGAGTCATCACGGTGACCACGTAATGGTAAACCAAGGCGGCCACAAAAAATTACTGAATCCACAATTGGGGCAAGTTTCTTTCTGTTATCCTCAATCTCTTTCTTGAGGTTGGTATCTAAAATGAGCTCAATAGGCTGCGCCTTCCCTGACATCTGGGAAAGTAAAGATGTTAGTATGGGAAATGTACATGCATGCAGGCCCATTTCTCCTCCTGTACCATGTCCAGCATGATTTTTCAGAGTGTATGATGTACCACTCCAACGACGAAGAGGCTCAGAAAATAAATTTTTAATTTTTAAAGCTTTACCAGGAAAACGATCCCCAAACAGAACACATGACAAGCAGAATGCACCATCCTTCAAAGGGGAATAACAAAGCCAGGGATATAAGTCTAGCCATTCATACCTGAAGCTTCTGCCATTGGTCTTTGGAAAGGAATACTTCTTATCAGGTTTAAAGACATTTCTGATGAGATTGCAGATTTCAGATGAGTTCATACCTCCCACCATGTCCCGGTACATTGCAACATCAAAATTGGTACCATGTGATTCAACCTTTGGTGCATTAGGTGTTATATCAGCTTTTGAGATATTTGGTTTTGTGTTGGTTGAAGTGCTGGGTTTATTGTTATTTAATTGCTCTTTTGGTTTTGAAGCAGATTTCTCTGTCACCTTAAAAAACTTAGAAATGTTAGATGGGGGATTAGAGACCTTTTTCTGAAAAATAAGAGTCGGTCTAGGTTTCTTGGCAGTGACTTGTGGACAAGCAGCTGTCGACTTTCTTTTCAACTGCTGTTGATGAAAGATAAGAGGAACAAAATGATTTGGCTGGATGGTTTTTCCAGCAGTTACAGTACCTTCATAACAAAACAAAATATGAAGATCATCCAAACCTTTCTTTGGAGTTAAGCGTGGTTGAATCATGCGATTAAATAGCAATTTACTTCTTTGTTGCCCACAATCAGGATAATAGGTGAAAGTATTCCTATTCAAAACTGAAGCAAGACCCATTATACAGAGAAAGGATGACCATTTCTTCTCACTGCAATTAAGTATAGCTTCCTGTCTAACCAAGTCATCTTTCATACAACCAGTATCTAAACATTCCTTAGAAACAGACAATGGTAAAAGGTTATTGATACTTTGGCTGAAGTATTGAGCATGTTCTTCCACAGCAGAAGAAAAACAAGGGTGCTGAGAATAAAAATCAGCATTAAGGTAGAGCTCTATGGAGGTCAAAATTCTCAATAGCTCCATTAGGCTATTGTTACCCACTTCTACCAAGGACACAGAGCTATACAAGCAGTTCCCAGTAGTGTCAGATCTAAAACATGAATGAAACTTGGTTTTATTACACCTACCTACTAATATACACTTACTCAGTCACTTAGGCAAAGATGAATAAATATTAACCTAGTAATTGATAAACTTGATAGCAAAAACATCATATTCCACTTTCATGAACCATTAAGTGTAAATAATTGGCAATATAATAATAGACTGAATTATTATATAATAAACTAGTGTTCATCTTTTAAAATGTAATCAGGAAATATGGCTACTTGTATGCTTTACTGCTATATGTTTTGAATAATTATTTTTGAATTTTAAACAAAGTTCAGTGCTCAAAGCTTTGCCTTAATACATCGGGTTGTACATTTCAAAGAAGGTATTGTATTATATACACGAAGTTCACATAAGACATTATTACACTCCTCGATTCCTCTTGATTCGTATGCATAGACCGCAGTTATATGCAAATTTATTAAGCGAAATCCTATGTAAATTTCAACGTGCAACGTGTAAATTTCAACTTTATAGCTTGTGCAGCTTAACAGTTCTAACACAAATTACACAATCACCAATGAACAAATACACAAAATCTTTGTAAAATATTGTTATGTTTACCTTAAGGCCGTACAAAATTTCTTTGTTGCCTTCCGAACAGACGTCGGGATGTACGATTCCGCAGCAAAATTTCTCGTGAGGCAAAAGCTGGTGTTGTTCAGTTCGTTTAGTAGTTGCTCAGTTGAACGCTTTGCTGCGGCGTCTATTCGCTTCTTCAGATCGGCCTCGATAGTTTTAAGATATTGCCGATCGTCTTTCTCCAAAGCACATCTCACGGCGTTGTAAAGATCTGACATGATTAATAAATAGTTTTGATAATAATTTTTTTCTTTCGAGTTAAAGAATCTTTCGAGTTTTCGTTGCTGTCAAAGCTACGATGACGTCGATCAGAAAGATCAATTGCAAGGAACCTTGCTGTGCACGCTCTCAGGTCAAGGTCAGATCACACTGATCGATCAGAAAAATACAACCAATGAGAATTCAGATAGATTTTGAATTAGCCAATTGAGTAGCCCGATTCGAGCCCCTGATCGCTTCACCGATCAGAACTCCCCACAGATCGCGCAAAAAGAGAGACAGCCAATCAGATGACTGGGATTTGATGACGAAGCGAGCAAAATTCATGCATAAGACCGCTTTTCTGCGCGCTCGTGCTCGAAGGCCTGGTCGCTGAACTCTTTTAACAACTGGATTGCCAAACATCACCTGGTGACATCACCCCAATACACTGCACGTGCTTTGCAACTGGACTGCTATTTCATTCAAGCACTTTTCTTGGCATTTTTACCTTAGTCGCGTGATCGCTCTGATCACCCCTAGATCCGCCCCTGATATAATTGTAAACCAGGGGTCCATACCTGGAATATATATATGCAGCCAGGCATTTGTCTGTATCTGTTCTAGGTGTTTAGGTTCTGCCTGGTGTGATGTTTAGCACTTCGAACTCGGAATAGCTTTTATAGTGTCCATATTTAATAGCCATTGTTGCTTATAATTTACAAAAGTATTCGTTTTCCAACACTGCTCTGGTCGTACGTGCATGCGGTAAGGATGCCAGCGCAAGTCCAGTCTTGTTATCCTGTTGAATGCTGTTTGCAAAACTGCGATGGGATTCCGACGAGAACTCACATGTGGGTTTTGCTCTGTTACTGCGGCTCATGTTTTCCTCATTTCTTTCGGTTCTTCTCTTGCCTGAATTTCTCTTTTTTCTGTTAAGGCTTGTTCCCGTGTTTCGATATTTTGTCACGTTATCTCGGCCAAAATTGTGTTTCATGCAGAAGGATTCCGTTCGGGAAATCTTATTCTGAATGCGTTTTGCACTTCTCTTACATTTTGTGTCAGATTAAAGTTTGTTACAACAAATAATCGTTGTTCTGCTGTCAGTTGCAGCATTTTGTATTTGATGAAGGGACACGACTGATTATTAAAAGGTCGTAGAGTTCCAGGCAAATGTCTAGAGTTTTATTAATTCTCGCACGATTAGAATGCATTGCAACTCTGAAAGGAAAACAACCTTTATGTTTTAAGCTAATTAATGGATTCAATTATTTGATATGCTTCGTATACCAAAGAGGTATTTTAGGCAACTTCTGTCACACACCTACCGCTATTGGGCTAATCTGAATTTCAAAGGTGTCAGGTTTTTTTTACTCACCCTGTATAGTTGCCATAGTTAATGCCATAGTTGCCTATAATTTACAAAAGTATGAAACCAAAAGCCTCATCAGAGATTTGACCTCTGGATCCCTGGTTTACAAGACCAGCGCTCAAACAACTGAGCTAATAAGGCGCGAGATCAACACTGCTTTTTGTCTTGAAGAAGGGAACTCAATCTTCGAAAAATTTCAAGTTGGGAGGGCAATCAGGGATTGCACGGGAATCGAATCCGTGTCCATTGTGTCTGCACCCAAAACGAAAAAAGTGCAGTAGCTTACAATAATTTATCAAAAATTTCAGCATAGCCGGGTAAATGAAAAATTAAAGTTCCGTTGACTCGTGCGGCAAACAGCCTAATATTATACTCTTAAAAGCGAGCATATAAAGGAGAAATAATTTCTGAATGGAAGTTCTTATATAAGAAGAGGCATTTCGCTCTAGGCTGACCAAACAGCATGTTTGTTTACATTTTTAGTAACCGAATCAGAATGCGTAAATTTGACTACTTCGGTTAAAATGGTACAATATTTACCATTTTACATCAAGTTTTAAAAATTTTGACTACTTTGATTGTCTTTGCCTAAAAATTGCAAAACAAAATCTCGTAAAGTATAAAACGAAATTCCACCCGCTGGCAAATAAACAATTTCTCCGTGTTATGAAAATCTTTCGAGATAACAAGACTCGTAGTCGGCAGGATTTAAACCTGCGCGGGAATATCCCAACAAATTTCGAGCCTGTCGACTTAACCACTTAGCCACGACTGCATATTTGCCAGTTGACAGGCAATGATAAAAAAAACACAATAAAACACAAGCGCTAGCAAGTATTATAGGAATTGATTTCTGAAAGAACGAATCATAAACATTGTAGTTCACTATTGTTACAAAAAGTCAATCACAAAAGTCGTTCATATCATTGAGTTTAAGTGGAAGTGTGGAGAGCTCGTCAGAGATTCGAACTCCGGACCCCTGGTTTACTAGACCAGGGCCGGTTGTATCAAGCTCGTTTAGCTTAAACGGTGGTTAAGTTATCACAAAATAAAAAGCGTTTTATTCAACTGTCCTATTCCATGGAAACTTGCTAATATCTAAGTAATTTCATTCACGAACATTAAAATAGTGTTCCTAAATTTGCTATGGAACCGAATAGCAAAGCGTTGCAAGGTGAAGGAATAAAATTGCAATGTGTTTAATTAATATAATCACTATGATGTGAAGTGCAAAGTTCGAGTAAATCACTTGTTCAGGTCTTTTCCATTCAGTAACTATACTCGAGAATTCGTAATGATTATGAATTCAATGTTGTAAATGCTTGGCAACAGCTGACGTTGTGGTACGAAATTTCAAGATAATCCTGTTTTCTTCCGGTAAATTTTAACTTATCTAATGGATAGCTATCCACTTCACTATCCACGCTTGGTGCAACGTGTTTTTATCCAATGGATAACTATCCACTGAATATAGCAGATTTATCCGTTGGATAGGACTTATCCGTTGGATAAGTTATCCATCTTTCGAACAACCGGCCCCTGAACTTTATCAGCAAATGGTTTCGATGCAGTGGCCGGGCTTGCACGGGAATCGAACACGTGACCTCTCGCACCCTAGGCGGGAATCATACAACCAGGCCATGAAGCCAAGCCATGCAGAAAATGGGAAAAGTTATTTTTGGCATATTTTATCGCTAACAATGAAGTCGATGTATGGCATGGGATAAGAAAAAATGGTCATATCCCGTGATAGAGTTTGCAAAACTTGATTTTGGCGTTATAATGCGTGAAATGTAATGATTAATAATATTTAAGTCTTTTACTCATCCTCGCCATACACAGACAAAAATATTTAGCCTTATCAGAGAGTTGAACTCCGGACCCCTGGTTTACGAGACCAGTGCTCTAACCACTGAGCTAATATTATAAAGGCAAATACGTAATACTTTCGCAAACGTAAAATGAAACGGCCACGAAATTCCACTTGCATAACAAAAGTCGTAGTCGGCAGGATTTGAACCTGCGCGGGAATATCCCAACAGATTTCGAGTCTGTCGCCTTAACCACTCGGCCACGACTACATAATTGCAATGATAAGCAATAAAAACACAAGTAATTATTATAGAAAGCACGTTCCACTTTTTTTTCAAAAGAAAATATCAAAAGAAAATACAGCATAATCATTACCTAGACCATTGGCAAATTGTTGTTAAGACCGTTCTCTTTCAAGCTAGACGGGCAAACAGGCCATGGTTTATGGGCCCAGCAAGCTTCCACTGCCCCACCCTGCTTGCTACACACTGCTTCTATGCCATGGATATATACACAGATCTGTATTTTCTTTTTAATTGTGCTGTTCCGAATAAGTTAAGAAAAGCGGGAAATGTTCTTACAGGTATATCTAAGAAAATATCAGCGCATGCTGGTATGCACAATCGGGGAGTATAGTTTTTGAGTTCCGGCTTTTCTCTTACACTCTATTTAAGAAAAATTAACTTTCTGGGCAGGAAATGGCACCTAGAATGTGCACTGCGAAGATCTTTTTTATTGAAATGACAACTTTAGCAGGACATGGTTTCGATCCATTGACCTCTGGGTTATGGGCCCAGCACGCCGGCTTTCTCTGCGCCACCCTGATTGCTACACACTGCTTCTATGCCATGAATATAAAACTTGTGCTATTTCGAATAACGTAAGAACAACAGGAAATGTTCTTTCAGGTACCTAGGAGAATAGCATCACACAGGTATGCACGATCAGGGAGTGTAGCTCAGTGGTAGAGCATTCGACTGCAGATCGAGAGGTCAGTGGTTCAACTCCGCTCGCTCCCTTCTCTTTTATAAATGAAAGAAAAATTCAACATTTTCGTTGCAACAATCCGTTTGCTTGATAAATAATCCTTGCAGCTTAGTGTTTTTTCAATGACTCTCTGCATGGGACACATGCATGCTCTATAAATTTGTTAAACGGGAGTCCATACCTGGAATACAGGAAATATGATTACTTTATCTTAATAAATGTGCGTGCATAGATATATTGTTGAGCCAGGAATTTGTCAGTAATTTTTCTAGGTGTTTATGTCCTGTGGTGTAATGGTTGCCACTTTTGACTCTGAATACGATTAATTATATAGTTGGCATAGTTAATAGCTATAGTTGCCTATAATTTACAAAAGTATGACAACAAGAGCCTCATCAGAGAGTTGAACTCTGCATGGACCCCTGGTTTACAAGACCAGTGCTCTAACCACTGAGCTAATGAGGCGTATGTGCAAGCCTTCACGAATATATGAATACTTTATCTTAATAATGTGCATCCGCGTATCAAACTACATAATTATACTATGCAGCCAGACATTTGTCCGTAAGTTTGATAGATGTTTAGGGTCTTTGGTGTAATGGTTACCTCTCCGGACTCAGGCTTCGAGAATCCGAGTTCAATTAATGGGAGAAACTCGTTGAAAACATACATTCTTCGTCTTTATGTAATTCTTTATTTCTGGCTTTCTCTTACAGGTATCTAAGAAAATAGCATATCACAGGTATGCTGCATGCAACGCTCAGGGAAAGTAGCATAGTGGTAGAGCATTCGACTGCAGGTTGACAGGTCACTGGGGTCAGTGGTTCAACTCCGCTCGCTCTTCCTGTTCTATAAATAAAAGAAAAACTAAATATTTTTATGGTACCCATTAGTGCATGAAAAATC